GCTATCACTTCAATTGAAGGTTACAAATATTTTTTAACAATAGTTGATGATTATAGCAGATTCATTGGGATTCTTTTTGTTAAAAACAAAAGTGATGTTAAAACCATTCTTCCAAATTTTATTATACTAACTGAAAACCAGTTTTCCTGCAAACTAAAAAAAATTACGATATGATAATGGAAAAAAGTTCTTCATAAATGATTTCTATAATGCAAAAGGCATTTTTCACGAAACTTCTTGTGTTTAGACTCCCCAACAAAATGGCATTGTTGAGAGGAATCATTAACACCTTCTCAATGTTGGTAGAGCCTTGTTGTTTCAAGCTAAAGTTCATAATATTTTTTGGTCTCGTACTCTCAAACTTGCTGTTCATATTATTAACAGATTGCCTACCCCTTTTCTCAATCATAAATCTCCTTATGAACTAGTTCACTCAATTAAACCTGATTTATCTACCCATAAAGTGTTTGGATGTCTATCATATATTAGTTCACTCACTTCAGGCAGAACCAAACTTGCTCCTAGAAGTCTAAAATGTATTTTTCTTGGTTATAAACCTAGAACTAAGGGTTATGTTTTGTATGACTTACATTCTAAATCCATTTTTACTTCTAAAAATATTGTATTTCATGAAAACATATTTCCTTATCATACTTCACTATCAAATACTTCTCAAATTCCTATTGATCATACACATTCTACAACTGACATAATTCTTTTTGATTTCCCATCTACTTTGCCAATTTCACCTGCCACAGTTGTTGCAAATAAAGATAATGATTCTAATGCTGTTAATGATTCTATTACTTCTAATGATAATCAAAATACTCAAATTGTTATTCCTCCTAACAAAATATCTCTTAGAGTTAAAAACAGACCTCGATACTTGGATCAATATTATTGTGGTGCAGCCTTTGCATCTCAATCTCATTCTACTCCTTATCCTATGCATTTATTCCTTTCTTATGATAAATGCTCACTTGATCATGTTTCTTTTTGTCACAACATTTTTGCACAAGTTGAACCTAGGTCATTCAAAGAAGCAAGTCAAAGTGACTATTGGCAACAGGCTATGGCATCTGAACTTCTCGCTTTGGACAAAAACCATACTTGGACTTTGGCTCATCTTCCTCCTGACAAGAAATTAGTTGGCTGCAGATGGGTTTACAGGATCAAACACAGAGCAGATGGTTCAATTGAGAGATTTAAAGCCAGACTAGTGGCCAATGGCTTTACTCAAATAGAGGGAGTTGATTACTTTGAAACTTTCTCACCAGTAATGAAACTCACTACAGTTAGAGTTCTTTTGACTGTTGCTAGTGCTAACAATTGATTCTTACATCAATTAGATGTTGACAATGCATTTCTTCATGAAGACTTGCATGAAGAAGTCTACATGAAACCACATCCTGGTCTTTCTTTTCCTCATCCAAAGCTTGTTTGTAAACTTCAAAAGTCTCTATATGGCTTGAAGCAGACAAGCCATAATTGGAACCAGAAATTAACTTTCGAACTTCTCTTCTTGGGTTACCAGCAAAGCTTTGCTGATAATTCTCTTTTTGTCAAGACTCAAGGTTCAATGATCACAGTTTTATTGGTTTATGTTGATGATGTTGTCCTTAGTGGCAATAGTCTTTTTGAGATCCAGTCTCTGAAAAATCAGCTTCATTCCAAATTTTATATTAAAGATCTTGGTCCTCTTAAATATTTCTTAGGTCTTGAAGTTGCTCGATCCAAGACAAGTCTGATTTTAAATCAAAGAAAATATTGCTTGGAATTACTTTCTGAATCGGGAATGCTTGGCTGCAAGCCTTCTTCTACTCCTGCAGATCTTTGTGTCAAGCTTCATGCTAATCAAGGGACTATACTTTCAGATCCTTCTCCATTCAGAAGACTCATTGGCAGATTACTATATCTGACCAATACTAAGCTTGACATTAGCTTTGCTGTCCAACAGCTCGTTAATTTGTTTCCTGCCCAAGAGAACCGCACATGCAGCAAGCAATGAGAATTCTTAAGTACTTGAAGAATGCACCTGGGTTTGGTCTCTTTTATCCATCCAATACTCCTCTTAAGATATAGACTTTCTCAGATTCTGATTGGGCAACTTGTGCCACAACCAGAAGATCTGTTACTGGTTATTGTGTCTTTTTGGGAAAATCATTGGTTACTTGGAAATCAAAAAAACAGTTTATCATATCTAGGTCTTCTTCTGCGGCTGAGTATAGGGCCCTGGCTTCACTAACTTGTGAACTACAATGGCTCCAATACTTGTTTAATGATCTGCAGATTCCAGTTCCAATTCCTTATTCTACATTTTGTGATAGTCAATCAGCAATTTAAATTACTAAAAACCCAACATTTCATGAAAGAACCAAGCATATAGAGGTTGATTGTCACCTCATTAGACAACAAATTCAAAAAGGCCTTGTTAGATTGCTTCATGTTCCTTCTGCAAGTCAATTGGTTGATGTGTTCACAAAACCTCTTTATCCTAATTCTTTTAAGTTTGCTGTTTCTAAGTTGGGTCTTCATAATATACATGCCCACCTTGAGAGGGGGTATTAGAGATAAAATGATGTCTTCATTCTGTTTTTTTTTTTATTCAGTTAGGATGTTTTTAATTAATTAGCTAAGATTTAGTTACTTTCATATATTAGTTTGTTATTCTATTTTTCTTTTCTTGCTATAATTAGTTTCTTGAATTATATATATAATACTCTTAGCATTGTATCAAAAACACAAATCAATATAATCATTGATATTCATAAATCTTTTTTTCTCTCTCTCTGATCTTTGACAAATTCGTTCACCTTTTTCTTCTTGAGTTTAAGTGCAAGCACTCACATGAATCAAGTACGTGTGCCCTTTGAGGGCTTTGTGTGCATAACAGAGATCCTTTAGTGGAAGAAATTTGACTGAAGAACGAAGCTTGTGGACCACAGAATTTAGCTCTTTGGTATAATTGATGGAGGTGTGAGTGGTATTAAAGATGGAACTTTTCCATGATGATGGTGGTGGTGGAGTTCGAAGGGAGAACCGGATGTGCAATGCAATGAAGAATGTGATACATATGATGAATATGAAAATTGAAAGCTTAGGGGAGTAGAAGCAAATGGATGTAAAATGACCTCAATTATGTTTGATAAGGAGAAGCTTTTGGGGGCTTAACCTACATATTTCTATACGTGCTTTAGTACTCATATTTGTAATATAGTCTATGAAATGAAATATGTTTGCAATATCACTAGAGAGATAAACACAGTACAGGCTCTTAAATGGTTTCACTTGAATTTTTCTATCTCCCTTTAATTCTCTCTCAAGGCCAATTGATAAACGATTGGAGGCAGTAACCTATAATGACAATTGGATTTAGCCTAAACTTGATTAATGAATGTGACAAGTATAATGGTATGCATTGGATTTCCTTACTATTCCACTCTTGGCAAAGACAAATTTTGAACCTTAGATGACTAGTAATGCGTAGTGCTCAAGTTATACAGCTTTGTTAGGAACCTATGTAGTCCTACCCTACGCAGGAAAAACAGGAAAGTAGAATTGAAAGGATATGTTACATTTTACATTGGTGAAATTATTATTAGAAATTAATACAAATTTCTAGAATAGTCTAGAAAAATACTAGGAAAAATCTAAAAAAAATCATTTAGATCTTGTATTTTGTAAATACTTCTAGAGAGTGTTCTAGAATATTGTAAATCTTCAAGTTTCTAGATAGTTCTAATATATGGAACCACCAAAACCTAATGGTGGAAGATGCCTATAAATAAGCAAGTCATCCCATTATAAACAATACGAAGAAGAAGTAATCAAGACATCAATTCTCCATCTCTTGAGTCTCTTACTAAAACTTCTTCAACTACCATTTTTTAACTATTCCTATTAACATTTCAACTATCTTACTCATCTCACCTACACCAAAAACTATCAATTATGATTGATCTGTTTGTAGAAGTTAAATGTATAATAGCTTTGCCGGAAAATCTTGCATATTATATGGGATAACATTGAAACTTGTGTGAGAATCCAGTTATTGTATTCATGAAACAAATGTGGTTACCTGAAAATACAAACGTTTAGAAGCAAGTCGTGATTGCATTCATACAACCACAAGTTATACAAAAAGAATGCTTCAAAATTAGTCTTATATATGTGCCATGAAAATAAGAGTTGTGACTCATGATAGCAAATGCTCGAGTCGTTTCCAGTGTGGTTATTATGATTATTATTCTTATTATTTGAAGTTAGAAACTTTTCATTTTTATCATAGAAGGGACTGAAGGGTCGGGCGTTATACAGCTCGAGAAAGTAATAGCATCTCCCTAAAAATAACCAATCATTTGGATGCCTCACTGAAGTTCAATATATGATGCTTTTGAGTGAAGTAAGTGTTAATCCACTCTGCTTTTCAGGAACCTATAAAACTTCGATCATTCACAATGCAGCGAGCTGCTGCTGCATAATATAACATCAAAATTACTAAGCCAGAGATAGAGGTGTAATACCTACTGTTTAGTGCGTATTTCTCCTTAAGTTACGCCGATAAATACGGATTACTAAACAATTACTCAAAACATCATCTAACAACTACATAATATAATAATTATGGTACAAATTATTTTATATTTATCATCAAACTGTGCTCAAGATGTAAGGATCTAAACAAATAAGCATATGCTTAATGCTAATTCAGTTAAAACAAAAGACGTGACATAAAAGGAAAATAAAATTCGTTTCATCAAATTTATTTCATGATATTTTATAACAAGCCTTTTCTTTGGGAAAGAAAACAAAACGCCTTTCTATTTAACAACAGAGGAAACGGCTTGAGTGTAAGTTATCATAAGCCTTAATTTCTTCCCCGATATGTTCATATATAGCAACCAAAAAAGCAAAAATATTTCCATTTTTTATCCTATTAGCTCATGACGCCTGCAAGATAAAATTTCTGGCTTAAATGACTGGTAAACCGGTTAGACTACGTTGAAACGTAGATATATTTTACATTTGATACATTATAAATATGGAATAGAACAAGACATACAGATGACGAAGTGATACATTTTAATCATACTAAAAAGGTGAAATTGAAGAAAACAAAACAGAACAGTGGAACTGTGTGTCAAACATTGCTTAAGAATTTCTGTAGTTCGTGCTTGTGAAATCAAATCAAGGAGTCCTTCTCATTTGAAGTAGCATAAAAAATTAAACCCCTATTGTCTAGCTTATTATATTTTATAAATTACTTGCCACAAACTCGAAACTTTTGAGACTATTACTTAAGGCAACTCCCGAGATGATTCAAATTCAGATTTTAAGTTTGTCTAGCACAGACTTCCCATAAAGATGGTTGCTTCGCTGAAGTTGCATATAATCTCTTTGTTTCATCCCAACGTATGCTGCTGGATTACTTTGATTGTCTAGCAGCTCTTTAGCTGGTTCCACCGCAGTATCCAACGATGGTGCAGTTACTATTGCCAAGGACATTCTTGTAGCTTTGTTGCTCACAACTGCTCTATGTAACACACTCTTGTACTTTCCATTGCTCATAACCTATTGCAAAAACAAAAGGGTACGTACGAGGTTATCACATAGTCAAAATTACTGTTAGAAGAGAAAAAAGGTGTACCTCAAGGTGATCAGACACAAGGCCTAATAAGCAGTTTGGAGTTGAATTGACATTGATCCACTTGCCACTATGAAGCACTTGAAGGCCACTAACCCCATTCTGCATGAGAAGGGTCAATAGGCCATGATCAGAATGTGGGGGCATTCCCATAGCAAGCTCAGGTTGCGGACAAGGTGGATAAAGATTCGCAGCTATCATTTGCCAACCAGAATCTAGGTCCATTGTTCTGTCAATATAATTGGATTCCAATCCCAAGCTTTCTGATATTCCTTTGAGTAGTTCCCTTCCCACTTTCCAGGTTCTTCTACAGTACTCCGAAGATGTATCCCTTCAAAAACAAAACAAGCAAATTTAGCATACAGGATATCTTGTCCGGTCCTAATGGCTAATGCTTAGCTCTAACCATCTCATAGCCATAAATAAATCTAGCACATATAGGCCATAGAGTAACAACAAAAAGTGGTAGAGAATTTGCTAGAACCTGAACCCAACTGGTTTGTCAGGTGAGTGAAATTCTGGGTGCACAACAATTTTAAGGAAATCCCTCCAGAATAAAACTTTGTCCATTGAAGCATTGAAGCTGGTGCCATACCTTATTGGGTCCATAAAATCCTTACTTGCATACCCTTGCTTCTCCTCTTCTTTGAGATTGAAAAATGCAAATACTTCATCAACCATTTTCTCCATGAGGATTTTTGACACCGAGTGATTGATGAGCATGAAAAATCCCCACTGCTCACAAGCCTTGCCTAAGTCATGGATGGTTTTGGACCGTTGATGAGGTGTACCATTGACCAAGAGAGAATAATCAATGATAGGGATTGGATCATCATCATCTGGATCTGCTTCTATTTCATCACGTGGATTGGTGGTGAAGGTGTATGATGGTGGGATGGAGTTGAGTTCAGGTGATTCAGTTAGCGCTTTAACGCTTATGAAACTTGTTTTGTTGTTGCATTGTTGGATAAACTCAGGAGCAGTTGAAGCCATTAGAAAAAGAGTTTGACAAGTGATAATGAAGAGAGAGGGGGAAGTGACCAATATCAGTGAGCCTTGACACTTCAAGTTCAACGAATGAGGTTCCTTCTTATGTGTTCTCTTCCTTTACTCGGTTTAAGGTTATCCCAAACGTGTCTTGACATCAAGTTGGACACCATTCATCTGTTCATTTGTTGCATGACGGTACGCACGTCATAAACTAGCATACATAGACCACGTTTGATGAAAATAAAGAGGACTAGTTAGATTTGTATCCTCTTTTCTCACACAATGCGACAAAATGAATACATATATAACTTAATTTTAGGTTATTTGCATATAACTTACAGATACATTTTTAATTTTACATACATGACAAATGTTATATTTATTTTATACCACACATATGTGTGTATATATATATATATATATATATATCTTTTTTAGCATAAAAAAAAGTTTATATTAAAAAAAATTGCCTTTGTCTTCTAACTTTTTTAAGGTAAATTACACTTTATCTGTAGATAATTTTACCGTACTTTTCTAATACACTAAATTTCTCTTTAAGAGGCCTACTAATTCTCAAAACAAGTATTATCAATAATATATTATTTAACATACTTTTAGTTATTAACTAAAATTTATAAAAATATAAAATATTAATATTAAAATAAAAGTGAGAATTATTAAATTAAATTAAGTGTAAAATTCACATTATTTTTGTAATTTTTAATATATTTCAGTTAATAATTATATGTATTAAAAAGAGTATAGTATATTATTTTGTTAGAATTTCTCCAAACTGGGATGAAATAAAGATTGAGATGGAAAGGAAAATTATTTACTTAGAAGAAAACATTGCGTCCATTATTATGCAAATATAAATTAGAAAGACATTTATCGGATCACAACAATAATTGAAGGGGTAAAAGCATAGCAATTTATCAATAATTGCCTACAAAAATGTGTAGAAGGAATTCATTACTTTGGATAGCGATATATTTGGAAAAGGGATAACAATCTGACTTGCACTCAACGATGCTACATAAATTATTGGCGATAAAGATGATTAATAATAGGGATATTGTCAAAATTACTATTACAAGTGTTGAAATTTGCATATTCTGGTTTTCCTTTCGTTGTCGTTACATAATAAACTAAGAAAAACAAAGAGACCCATTTTTTCTTTTGTTTTAACCAGAAGCTCAGATCCACCAAACCGAGAGAGCACTTATCCTTTTTACTGCGTTTTGTCTTGCGGCTTTAACGTGTATTTAGATAAATACTTTAATAGTTGACCAAATAAAAAAGATAAATACTGTAGTAAAATATTTATTTAATATTTTTTATTATATAAACGTTTATAGTATAAATTTAATTTTAAAGTTTATAGAAAATTTTAAAATTATTTTAAAAAATTATACTTAAAAATTATTAAAATAAGTTTAAAAAGACTCATAAAAGTCAATAATTTTATAAAATTTTGCATAAGCTCTTTTATACACTTCCTAAAATTACAATCTTTAGATTTCCATTTTATGTAACTATGAAGAGTATTTCTGGTTATTATTTCACATTTGGTTAGTTCAACTTGTTTCTATTGGTGTTCAAAGAAACAAGAGATTAGTGACTCAGTCAACTGCAAAAGCTGAGTTCATTGCAGTAACGGAAGCTGTGAAGCACACAACATAGTTGAAAAGGTTAATGTATGACTTGCATATGAAACAAGAAGGGAATGTGAAGATGTTTGTGGATAATCAAATTGCTCTAGTTATCTCGCTGGATTTTATGATTCATGGAAGGACCAAACGCTTCAAAATCAAGTACTATGTCTTAAGAGAAGTGCAGAAGACAGGTGAGATAAAACTAATACATTGCAAGTTATAAAATCAAGTTCAAGTTGCAGATTTGAAATTTTTAGAAACAAGTGTTTACAGCACTTGAGTCATGAGGAGAATGTTAGCGTCTCAAGACAGCAAAGTTTGTGTTTATTTGTTATGTTTGATTCAATTTGAGTCGAGTCATAGGGAAGTTGATTGTAAATATTTATGCTTAAGTTGTTATTTTTGTCGGTTGCTGTTTTTAAGGATTAGTGGTGTCTAAAATTGCTTTTTGTTCAGCAAGTTAGAGTCATGTACTTGTGTTTTGCAGTTAGAGCTTAATGAATTACTTCCCTTTTGTTTTTGCTCTCTGAGTTCTTTCTACAACAGTTGATAAAACCTCAACCCAACAGGAACACCACCTATAACAGGCAATTCATCTTGTGGGAACGTGACCTTCATCTATGAGTTTTATGAAAACAGCTGCATTTTGAGATATTTCTAAATAGAGCAACATCCATGAGTTTTCTTTTCTTTAATCTATAATCAAAAGGTGCAAATAATATTTCATTTTCGTACGAATTTTCACAAGGGGAAATTATTAAACATTAATTGAATAAGTTGTTTATATAAGTGGCCTAGGCCCTTAAATCTATATAAGGTGCCCTGCGTTTAATTTCAGCATCCATGCATTTGAATTTAAATGAAGGAAAAGGTCTAAATAGATTTGATGGTTGGCTCTACAAAACCCAAACATACATCAGGTGTGGCACCCTCTGAGCCAAACTTGGCAATGATAATAAACAACCTTCAATTAGTTCAAGACCTTTTGATTTGCTATAATACACTTGATCATCACATGACTTACTTCATTTCATACAGAAACCTTTCAAACTCTCACCTTGTTGAGAGTAAGAAATACATTTAGTTTTCAAGAACTGACCTGAACCAATCAAAAGCTTCTGAGAGGAGCATTTGGCTTTCTCTGACTGCGGCTATACCATGATAATAGATGTTTGGCGTTGAAGGACCTTGACCTCTTCATTGAACTAGGCTCACTATGCAGATACCTTGTCCTAGAAGAAGAACCCCCTTTTGCAGCAGTAGCAATCCTCTTTGAATTCCCACGAGATTCCACTGACATAACAGTTGCAAGAGCAAGATTGATCTTAGCAGCAGAAGAAGAATCCAAAGACACTGATCTTCTAGGTTGCATGTTAACCAAATCGGAATCTGATCTCTCAGTTTCACATACTCTTCTCCCTTCTCCAACTTCTTGTCCTTCTTCCTCTTCTCTATTCCTCAACTGATCAACACTATTTTCCATTCCACCATTGTCCTCACCCCTATCTTCCAAAACTTCCATCTGGGCAGTTTCCAAAGAACTTGAACCAAAAGCATTAGGCTCCATAGATGGAATCCTTGTAGGGTCAATAACAATAGGAGCACGGCACATGGGGCAATTGGTATGTGATCTAAGCCAAGTATCAATACAAGGTAAATGGAAAGCGTGGTTACACTTTGGCAAAAGCCTAAGATTCTCATCCTCTTGAAACTCACTCAAACAAACAGCACATTCTGTTCCCTCAATCAACCCTTCGCCTCCCTTGTACTTACAAACAGTGATGGCACCAATGATTGATTGTTGAAGACCAATGGTGCGGATATACCAAATGGGGTGGTCAATCACAGGACCATCTTCTTCATCAACAAAAGGATCTTCTGTTTGCTGCTGTGACAAAGCCCTTCTCCTCGACCTACTCCTACTAGAGAAAAACTTTGCATAGATGGCGTAGCAGCAAAGACCAAAGAAAGCTGTGGCTGCAAGAGCAAAACTTATGATCAAGTAGGTGGAGATTTTGTTGTGTTTGCTGGGAGTTTGAATCTCTCCTCCTTCATCTGGGTAGTAAGGAGGGATTGGTGACGGTGGAGTGTAAGGATCACAATAATAACAAGATGGTGGAAACAACTTTCTGTATTGCAGCCCCATGTCAGAAAGAGGGATTTGGATGTGAAGGGAAAGATAGAAAGCATCAAAACAACATGGATGAAGGAGGAGAAGGATGTGTGGTTTGGATGAACACAGGGTTTGGTGAGGAGGGGTTGGAAGTTTGACTTCGGACCAATACGCAAGAGAAGGAAAATTATGTTCTTTTTGGTGCCTTCTACGCGTTTGTTGTGTTGACTTTTATGTTTAGTTTGACTTACGTTTCGCTTTCTGGCGGCTGAGGTCGGTGTACTTGGGCCTCACTTTGCACTGGCCCAGCCCACCTGCTACAAAAATTTTACATCAATAGAGCATGTGAAAAAATGGAAAATATAATGTGAAAATGGTACTAAGCAGCAAAATGCTCTGCAATTTCAAAGATTGTTAATTACTATGGTATATGTATTATAAACAGAAATATATAGCATACATGTCTTTCAACTTCAATGAACCCTAAGGTAGAGATTCTTTTTCTCAAGATTTAGTTACCCATTTAAGATACCAATGGGTTGTAATTGTATGGCTCTCTCTTATTCTTAAGTTTGTTTACCTGCAAATTTTATGGAGGGGGTTACGTGAATCTTTAATTATTTTTTAAAGTGTCATTGTCAAATGATCTTGTAGCATGTTCAACTTGCAAACAACAAATGATAACTTATTGGAGTTGTTAACTTAAGATGAACTTGCTAAGCCAACCAAATTACAAATTAATTATAAACTAGTGGGAAAAGCCAACAACTTCTTTAGAGGGACAAAAGGATAATAATGATATTTGGTGGGAAAGTTTTCTATAAGGATTGTTAATAATATCTCACAGTCAATTTTGATTAAAGAAGCCAATAATTAATAAAATACAATAAAGCTCCCTTTTTCAAAATAACCAGAAGAAAATAAATTCAGCTTTTTTCCCCCTCTTTATTATAATTACATTTTTAATGTTCTCAAATTTCAAACTTTCTTTTTTCTTTATACCATTAAGCTATTTCTGTTTTCTTTTACTCTTTCTTCTTAGTCACGAAATGGTTTTGAAATATTGAAAAGCAGTCTCAAAGCAAGCCTTGTTTTGTTTTTTAAGCTGATTGCCTAAGACCAACAACCCCTATGTTCATATTCTTGTAGCACTGAGACCAACCCAGAAGAAAAGAAAATCTCATCCAAAAATTCCCTTTGCCCCATATTCTAGTTTAGGCCCAAAGTCCAAACTTAAACTACCAAATGTCCAAATCAATGAGAAGGAAAGAGCGATGCTTCCTTCCCTCAAATCAAGGCTTGCTATTTCCCCTTCCCTTTCCCTACTAATAATATCACGTTGTTGTTGCATATTTTAGGAAGCAACAAATCAAGATGACCAAAAAACTGGCCAAAGAAAGGGCCAAATTTCAGTAACTTTGGCCAAAAGGGAGAAAAAAATACCACAAGCTTTGCCTTCAAAGCCAGAAAGTTTAACTAACTTACAAGGAACACACGTCATAATGTATCCAACCCTTAGCGTACGTTTTCCTTATTTAGGCCTCACTTTACTTGGAGTAACCAAATTCATATTTGTTACTCATAGTGATTTTAGCCTGCAAGAGTAACCAATCTCACATGTAAATACCAATTGAAAAGCCAGGCATCTACGTTACAGAATTGATTATTTTAAACCAACTCTTACAATCATCGCCACTCATTTCAGCCATTGTGAAAGAAATTTAAAATCTGTTCAATATGTCAACGAGAGGCTCATGGATAACTCTGAAATTCAGAAGTGTTCTTGATGTAATTTATGCCACCAAATTTCAATTAAGCTATAGTGGCCTACGGAGAAACAGACCAATTGTGTCAGCAGCTAGGATTGAAAGTGGTTATTGGATGCACTCTGGTCTACAATTCTTTAGCACCAATAACAACACAAACACTAATGCAAAAGGGTAACTACTAACTACCCACAACCTTTATTTTTGTTTTCATCTCAAGTCAGTTCCAATCTGACCGTTTAATTTACATGGTGAAATTTGTTTTTAACATGTACTTTGGTAGAGTAAAGAATGTCACAGTTCAACCTCAAGCTCCCGCTTCTACAATCTTCACCTTCCCTCATTGGTATGAACTAGCATTACTTACTATTGATTTGAAATTTAGAGGTCCATTTACTAATTTGGATAAACCAAACTAACCATTGATATCCGAATGTTAAGTTAGCTATGGTCAAGATAACTACTATTTCACTAGTCCTTGTTTAATTGTAAAAGTTCACCTAAAACTACGACATGATTAGGAGTACTAACCAACAAATGAAAATAATAATTGTGCAAAACATTTAGTGAACATTTACTTAATGAACATGCAGGCTAAGATGGGTTTTGGGCACGGTACTTTCTTTCTTGCTACCTTTCTGGAAACATAATTGGGAAAAACTACAAAGAATAGAAGGTATATATATCTTATACACATGGAATATTTAACAAACTAGCCACTTTCTTAATTTTTGGACATTTACTTTGAGAATTGCAATATTATTTAACATCCGGTAAAATGGGCATGGACATATTTAGGAGAGGTAGAGGTTGTGGCTGAAGAGGTGGAAAAGGTGGCAAAAGTGGTAGAAAAGGTGGCAACAGTAGCAGAGAAGGTATCTGAAGACATGGCAGAGATTCTTCCTGAGAATGGTAAGCTAAAGAAAGCAGCTTTGGTGGTAGAACGTGCATCAGAACAAGTTGTTCATGATGCTCAATTAACAGAAGAGTTTATACACATGGTACTATATCCTTATTTACCATATCGTAATATTTTCACATGGCTTCATCAATTCTATGAGTGACTTATGATTATTTTTTGCTTATAGTTTTAAATAACTTGCTTAATGAAACACAGGTTGAGGAACTCAAGAATGACCTGGATGATTTGGAAACTTTTGCTGAACCCGTAATTGACAAGATTGTGAAGAAAGTACCCGCGAATAATTGATGCCAATATAAAAAATCACTTTTATTTCTTTCATGCTATTGTTTGTATTACTGTATTTACGATCTCTATGCACGTATTAATATATTCTTTACTGTGAATTTTAGCTATTTGTAACTTTTTGCCAGATTTTGTTAATTTAGTTTTAATTGGACTGCCCATATTCGAAAAATCTTACTAGAGAAATTGAATATATCAAAGTTTATGAAATTGAAATGAATTAATACTTCATTTTAACATTAAAAAAGTTACTTAAAGATCATCCCTCAACTGCTGTTAACATGAATACCAGAAGGGAAATCAGAGTTGATTCTATCCTAGTTTTTTCATTGTGTAATATTTTTTTTATTCAAATAAGATATTTGGCAAATAATTATTATTTTTCATGAATAATAATTTATCTTCAAAACTAACTAGTAAATGACTATGTTTGGACTTTGTTCAGCTCGATTAATTATCTAGTTCAAATGTTAATATACACTGATTTATTCTTCCTCTTTATTTATATTTTTATTATTTTGGTCTATAATTGACGTGTTAAGCAATTAAATATAACTATTTGCTTTTCTTAAGGGAACTCTTTGCATCTATGTCTGTTAAAATTTCTAATAAATCCATTACACTATTTGGTTGGGTGAATTAAGATGAAAAACAAAAATTACAAAGAAGTAAATTATGAAAGTAATCGGAAACTCATTCGAATGGCAAGTGATGAAGGGGACAACAAATTAAGGCAAATGGGGTCCATTTTAAATATTTAATCTAATTAGAGATTTAAGTATTTTTTATATTATTTATTAAAGTCATTGTAAAAGTGGTACTTTATTTTTTATTTTTAACGATTTATACATAAATTTTAAAACAATAAAAGTTAGTCTCGCTATTTCTTAACAATTTTTTCAAAAATAAAAATATGATAACACGTTTATAATTTAAAGAATATAAAATCAAACATGCCCTAAAGTTTTGCCTATTTTCTTTAATCGAAGTGAGAAACAATTTATGTTTGTCTCTTTTCCTTTTCTTATCTTTTCTGTCTCAACTTTACCGCTTGTCTGCGCTGAATATCTTTTACCCCCCATCACCCAATATTAAATTAAATTTTAAATTTGAACTTAACCTATTAATAATTATAAATTTTAAACTTAACTCATAAACTCGTTTATAATTCTTTTATAAATTTAAAATGATATTTTATTAATTTGATATTTTTATGCTATAAAATAATAATAAAATATAATTTTATCAACATAAAAATATTTTAATATTAAAATAATATTATATATATTTTAGAAAATAAGATCATTTATTTAAAATATATTTTTAAAATAAATCAATAATACACATGATTATGATGATGATAATAATAATAATAATTTTTAAATAAATATAATTTTAACTATCTAAATATACTTATATATTAAAGTTAATTATGAGTTATTGATGTTAAATTTATAAAATTTAAATTTAAATCATTTAAATAAATATTTTAATTTTAAATTTTAATTAATTATATTTAGTTAAATATTTAACAAATCGAGTTCAAATAATTTACCCATTTACTCTTCACGGTCCTAAAAACAGCGTTGGGTTGCTCCATCGTACCTTAATTTTAGCAGGATCGTTGTTTTTCATTCTTTTATTTTTTTTAATAATTTTAATTTTCGAATTTAATTAATAATTGTATTCTATTTTATTAATTGAAAACAATAATACCCTTTAGGGGTAAAATTAACTCTGACCAATTTTTTTCACTTTTTAATTCATCTAAATAAATGAAAAAATTAATATTTTTCATTACAATTTACGTTCAAATAACACAATTTTTATTTCTTTATTATGGTATTTATTTCCTCTTAATTTATTTCCTTTATTTAAATTGCGGGTTAGTTTCAACTATCGATAACTCAAAGGGTGGAGTGAAAAGATAAAACAATATTATGAGTATAATTTAAAAAAAAAATCATAGGAAATAACTATAATTTATCCTATAAAAGGTAGGGATAAAAATTGGATAGACTGGTTTGATTGGTTACAGTGAGAGCCAATAACATCCTTGAGCTAAACAAATAAAAAATATGCAAAATAAAATATCTTTTCTATCTTATTTACAAAAAAAGTAATTATTAATATTTTTATTCAAAATATAAAAAAAAAAACATCCATTTTTAAAATGTATAAATTTTTAATATATTAATTGATAAATTCTCTTTATATTTGTATTTATTTTGAGATTTATATTAACAAAATATTTATTCATTATTTATATAAATTGATATATTTGTTTAATATATAAGACGTCACTTTGATGTTTTAATGTTATACGGATTAAAAAAAATTATATGTTGGGATAATCATATGTTTATGATCGCTAAACATCGCATAACACATAAATTTGTTTAATTTATAAAAAATATTAAAATTTAATGACAAATACAAATAATATTTTCTTGAGTTGGTAAGAAAATGATTGTGGATAGGCACCTTCGTTACGGTACATCTATTATATGCTTTTATGATAATGCTTTTTTCACGTTTCGCCTGCCTTGGAGCGATTAAAAGAACCTCCTACATGTCAATGCCAGCCTCAACACGCACCTTTTCCTTTTTCCCATTATTATTATTATTATTATTATTAGTCTTTAAAATAAAATTATTTATAAAAGAAGAAAGAGGAGCAAAAATGCTCTGACTACTGATTTATTCTACATATTAAAATAAAATGCCCACTCTCATCAAAACGAAGGGTTACACTTTTCCATGTCCTTAACAGGGGCCGTCCATAAAGCAAGTCCTTTGTTAAGACGGTGGTACATCTCATGCCTCGTCACTTCGCTTTAGACATGTGATCTTGGTTTCGTTGGTTCTTGCACTGTCTCAATGGTACAATAATACATTTTCTATATTTCTCTTCGTACAATGAGCGTCAAAGTGAGGCCAATTTTACACCAGCAAAGAAGGAAAAGTAAAGTTGTAGTCCTCCAAAGTATAATTTTTATCGTTCAATTTTCCACTAACTTCGAAAGAGAAAAAAAAAGCATTCATAAAAGAACCACCAAGTTCCTTGCATATGATTCCACCCAATGACCCCATTCCCACTTTAGATTCGATTCTTCACATCTTTTCGTGCGTGTTTTAATAATTACAAGTTTTTACTTACTTTTACAATGTACAATATTTTCCCCATTCGAATAATCTCCTCAATTTTCATAACCTTGAACGGTTACATTAATATAACCAGCTTCACATTGAGGCTTAATCGGTTATATTTTCCTTGAGATTGGTTGTTGTGTATGAAATTGAAGGTGCAAACGTAATTAAAAAATTAAGATTAATAAGCGAATGTAAATAACAGAAGTTAAGAAGAATAAAAATGTATCTCATTCATAATAATAATGATAATAAATAGAATACACAAAATAATGGAAAGAATAATCCTCACACAGCAAATCAGAGCAACCAAAAATGAAGTACAAGAGTTCACGATCCGAGTAAATACGTGATACAATAAGAAAAAAGGAAAAAAAGAAAAATAAAATCAACGAAACTCTCTCTACATAAGCAAAGCCGCAGCGAAGACAACGACGGCTGCAGATCCGGCGACGGTGAATCTGTTCAAAGCCACACCGTTTTGGACAGGAGATGGTGCTTCAGATGGTGGAGTGGAAATCGACGAGGGAGTAATGGAAGGAACTCCGGCCGGCGAAATGCTGGGAGACAAAGGAGGAGACGGAGGAGAGTTGACGGTGGCCGGTGAAGGAGAGGGACCGCTCACCACCGGAGCAGGAGGAGAGGCTGCAGGTGACTCAGCGGAAGGAGAAACGGCAGGCGACGGAGACTTCGGCGGAGAGGCCACGGGCGTCCTCTTTGGAGACAAAGCCGGTGAAGACGCCGGTGATTGAGCGACGGTGGAGCTCACAAACAATGCGGCGACTAGCATCAACACGACGGTGGAGCTAGCCATTCTGAAAAGAGAGTGAGTGGAAACAGAGATTTTAGAGAGAGATAGCGTTTAAACAGAGAATAACTGAAAGATTGAGAAGGTGACAGTGGTGAAGAGAAACAGAGGTTTGTGGGGGTATTTATAGAACCGTAACCGCGTGGAGACGAGTCGTTACGAGCCGTTGATTCGTTTAAATGATTATCAGGGTTGAGCTGACGGTCGCTATTCGATTTGTGAGTGTAAGATAAAAAGAAAAACAGAAAAGAAAACAATGTTATGACCGACCAAAAATGTTCAACAAAACAATTTCTAGATGAATTTTAGTGTTTTTTTTTACATGTATTTTGAGGATTTGTGTACACAATAAAATTATATATATATAAGATATATGATATTATTTTTACTTGTTCAAAAAATAAACGTATATAATTAATTAATACATCTCTAAAATTATAATGATGATATTACGAAATAAAAATTATTCTTTAAAATAAGCTATCATTGATATGTACGACAATAATTTTAGTCTCTAATATCATGATACTGATATTTATCATTCAAAGATCAAATTAATGAGAATTAATAAATTTAAGAATTATATTGATTTTTTTTTTTTAAAAAAAGAGTGACTGGTCATTGATATTTTAGAAATTAAAGATATTTGGTATCAATTTGGCTATTTTGGTTGATAGTTTAACAATGCGAAGAAAGTACATAGGGTAAGAAAAATCCGTCTTAATATGTATTATTTAGAAAACTACCATTAGCTTTTTTAAAAAATAAAGCTATGAAAAAACTTACAAAAAAAAATTGAAAATTCAATTGCATTTAAAAAATGAAAAGGATAAATTCAGTTAAAACTAAAGTATTAAATTGGAGTAATAAAAAATTATTAAATTGGATGGTAAAAAAGAATTTTGAAGTAAATAATTAGCAAAATAACTGCACTCTTTGAGTAAATATAATTTTGGAGTTGTCTTTACCATTTATCATATAAATCCATAAATAAAAATACAAGAAGATGTGAATTGGAAAAAGATGGTTGAGTTGCCTTAAAGGGTCGCACACGACACGCGGGGAGAGTGAAGTGCGAGGGCAAGCTGGTACAGCTGTCTTTTTGAATCAGGACCGTACACGTGTGAGAAGTTTCAAGGATTGGATGTTGGATGGACGCTTATTAGGGAAAGTCGTAACGGTCAGAAACACACAAAAGAAAGAAGAAATCATGTGGATTTTTTTATATATAATTTCGGCGACAAAGTCGGAGTCGGTACCAAAATTGCTCGCACGATACGGCGAGGGACCACCTCGTTTGTTTTCATAAGATTATTAACAATGATAAAAAATTTCTTCTGATAGCCGTTGAACAAAAGAAATTCAGGAACTACAGAAATAATTTATATTCATGTAAATGGTGATAATGTTGACATGCTTTATTGCATATCACCTCGAATTGTTAGAATTGTTGTCCTCCGAGAATCATCAAAATTTCCTACACCAGAGAGGATCACGGTGTTTTAATTGAAGAGAGGAGGAGATTTTACAAGTTTTTAAATATACAGGTTCATTATTTCTAAAAATATTCGCTCAATGTTACAAAATTATCCTTACATTATTCTTAATAATACATGCCAGCTGAAAGGGAAGTGAACCGTATGTAAGCCTTGTTTTTTTAACTGAAAAGTTGCATTAGCATGTTTGGTATATGCTAGGTTGGTCCCTGTTGCTGAAATCATATGGACATTTGGAATATTACCTTTAACAATAATGCTGTGGTTCACAGCACAGCATGAAACCAGTCTTGATAAATTATTATGAAATTTGGAAAGCTGTTGTCATGAAATGTGACTCAAATACTTTAGCTTCAATTTTTTTAATGGTTATTTTTATGCTAGATGAAGTTAACTGAGCAATGCATGAAACAAAGTTTCTTAGGTATCAAAATTGTTATCTTTCCAATATCGCTGCGCGTAACCACAATATAACTGGTAGCTGATTTTATTTTTTTTTGCCTCACTTCCTTTTGTGGAATGGAATTTCATGTTTTTCTCTCACAATGTAAAAGGAATATAATAATAAAACAAAAACAAATAGTGAGCCTCCCTCACTATAAATTTTAGAGCCAAAAAAAAAGCAAAAGTAAAAGTTAAAAAAGAAAAAAAGAAAAAGATAGTACTGCCTTTTTGTATTCACCCATCTTTAATACCTAGTCTCGTTATCTTTTCATTAGTCTTGCATTATTGATTGAGCTGCGTCTGTTACGGTGCGTCCTTTTAGGGGTACATCTTGGAGTTACCGTTATTTAGTTTCTACTTTTCTAGTCAAACTTCTCGTTCCAACTTCTCCTTTTGCACATTGGCTTCATTCCAATCTCTTATATTGGTTCCTTTCCTTCTTCCGAGAGGTGATTCGGACTCAGCTATGCTCCCTTTCAGTGCTTGCTTTGCTGTGCCCTCATAACAATGCTTGCTTTATAATATCTGATTTATTTTACGACAGATTCACAGTCATCATTTAACTTCAAATAAAACGAACATTACTGAGTATACAGTCAATTAAAGTAGTTAATTGCCCACCAATCCGTAATCCAGAAAATAACCTTGATAACAAAAAATGGTACCTTCATACAACCAACCTCTACAACAGTACCCAGTACCCTGTATAATAAAACTATACAAAAGCACCTTTAAATAATGAACGCAAAAGAAAACAAGTCAACCTCAAATTTCCCTAGGCAATACTCTCATCTATTATCCTTTATACATTACATGGCACTAGATAAAGTTTCAAAGCGAAGAATGCTGGAGGAAGCCAAATTTATAGAGTCTGCCTGAAGAAAAATCAGGCAAATGAATTAGCAAAATTGGATCACGAGTCGAATCATTGATTCTCTCTTTAGATCCATCTGCAGGATGGAAATCTGCACCGCCCTTCCTCATCTGCTGTGATATAGAATTGAAAAAGCAGGTTTATAAGCCAGGTGCAGTATTAGAATCATCATCACTACTGGCTTTACCATTGCCACTGTCTTGATAGTTCAATTTGCTGTTAAATTCCAAGCCATACATGTGGCCCATTTTCACACGTTTGGTCTCCAAGTATTTCCTGTTCTCTTTTGTTATAAGTGATATCAATGGGATCCTACCGGAAATTGTCAAACCATAACCTTTGAGCCCAACATATTTTGCCGGATTGTTTGTCATTAGTTTCATAGAACGAACACCCAAGTCCCTCAATATCTGCAAGTATAATTTCAAATTATAACCTTACGACTCCATGCAAAAAAAATAAGACATCTGGAATTCTATGTTGCACTCGACAACAGCATGCCAGTGAACAATCATTGTAAATCACTATGAATTAAAGTGTAAATCATGTTCAACATTCTAGCCATTAAGATTTTTCATTATAAGAGAAATGTTGCTAACACTCTCTTCAACACATTTTTTTGTGATTCGTTAATTGTTAAGGAAGTCAAAGCAATTTCAAATAAGTAATCAATTTACAAGACAAATATTTTAACTTTTTAGAAAATAAACAAGTACTCGAAGTGTGTTCAAACTTCAAAAGAATGTGTTATTAGTATTTTTCAATTACCTGTGCACCAATTCCATACTCCCTCGAGTCAACGGGCAATCCCAACTCCTCATTGGCTTCTACAGTATCTCGCCCATCATCCTGTAGGTTATAGGCACGAAGTTTGTGGCCCAACCCAATACCCCTTCCTTCATGTCCCCGAAGATACACCAACACACCTCTACCAGCAGCCTCAATCTGTTGCATTGCAAGAGCAAGCTGACTTCCACAGTCACATCTGGCAGATCCAAATATGTCTCCAGTGAGACACTCTGAGTGTACCCTCACAAGAACATCGTGTCCATCTCCAATGTCACCCTGTTAAACAATAAACAGTCAAAAGTCAAATGATAGTTTAAATGAAATAGGCTTAAATTTATTTTTTATCCCTATAGTTTATCTCGGTTTTGGTGTTAGTACCTGTACTTTAAAAGTTTGGTATTAAGTTTCTACAATTTAAGTAAACAGCTTATAATTAAGTACTTCTTCAAGATGCTTTCACCATGTTAGATTTATTATATTTTGATGATAAATCTACAATTTAAGCATGTAGGATTAATATAGGTTATTATTACTTTGATGCTAAAAGAAGAGAATATGGAATTATTTCCTTATTAATTAATTGATTAACTCAAATATGCAATTGATATTTAAGGATAATTTTATTTTAATATGTAATATGTATTTATCGCAATACCGGAAATAGGGAAAACCAGTAACCAAAATACTGAAAATAGCAGCTATAGGACAAATGAGTAACAACAGATAACAAAACCAACAACTACTTTATTGCAAGATATGCATCTTACAACTTAGAATCTCCTTCACTCTCTAACCACTAAAATTTAATGGTATTGCATTCTATATAAATAATGACAAACAATCTGGCAGAATATGTTTGCTTTGTTATTCTACGGTGGTTATTTTGACATCAGGATCACTCCGCAGAAATTAAAACTATCTCACTCGCAAAGAACAGGGCAGCTTTGGGATTTATAGACTTTGCAACTGGAAGACAGCTTGTAAGTAGTTCAATATCTTACGATATCTAAACCCAACAAACTTGTAGGGAAAATATTTCCTTTATGCTAATATTTTTAGCTTTTGTTCCCCATTTGACATTATTGGACATGTAGTTATAAGGGCTACTAAATCAAACAATGCTAATTTCTATCTATCTTACTAACAGTATTTTATGACAATAGTTTGTAATTCATACTGGACATAATGAATTGGGTTTTGGTGTTCCTTTAACCCCCTACCCCGAGAGCAGGCATAAAAAAGAAAATCAAGTTCATCTCAATTTGGGAAAGCAGCAACATGGAAATGACTCAATGTTTTAAAAAACACATCCATCCTCTTACTCTCATATTTTAAATTTCACAGGAAAAAAGAAATTTGACAAAATCAATCTCCCTTTCCAAAGAAAAAGATGTAGCTATAGTGCAGTGCCATATGATTAACGTAGAAGCAGCTGCCGATTTGAACCCAACTCATATTGTTCTACCATATTGGTATCCTTTCCATTCTCAGATTTTTTAATTTGTCTATTTTTATTTAAAATCATTCAGTCCAATTATCAAGTGTGATCACACATATTGCTACATATTAGTTCACAAATAAACACAAGCTTTGCTCACCTTAACCATTGCAATATGCTCAATCCCATCTAGAAGTGACCTATAGCAGTTAGCTGCAAATGGCCCCCACATTGTAGGTATTTGTGCATCACCAGCACGTTGTACTAGTTTATCTCTCTTCCTTCGGTACCTGTCATAAAAATAAGAGTCAATCTCCCTGCTATAAAACAAAAAGTACCGAGGCAGCAAAAACAGGCAAATTAACTAACCATAAGCAAAAACATGGGAACAAAAGAAATAAAGCATAAAAAACGAATAACCATTGAGAAAAAATTAACTAACCATAAGCAAAAAAATTTATGTTTCATTACAATCAAATTCAGGGGCATATAGTGGAAGATAAACAAATAGAATTTATGTTTTCATAATGTCATAGGAAAATTCCATTCAGTGAAAATTACAAATTAAAAAATAAAAATTTAAACCAAATATACCTCAATCAATCTTTTTAATTTATTGGCAGTAACCTCAATAGACAAAAGCATCACAGAAAGACAGCATAGGGGATTTAAATTATGGCATTGGCAGTTAAAAGAAACACCTTAACTTAAGACATTTTAAGCATGCATACAATGAATTTTGTTACATCTCCCATGAAATGCAATTGGATACCTTATTAAATCAGCAATGGATATAATTTTCAAATTTTCACGTTCCACAAACTGACGAAGCTTAGGTAATCTAGCCATGGAACCATCATCATCCACAATCTCACACAGAACTGCTGCTGGATTCAAACCAGCAAGTATGGCAAGATCAACCGAAGCTTCAGTATGTCCAGCTCTCTTCAACACACCACCTTCCCTGTACTTTAGGGGGAAAATATGGCCCGGTCGGTTGAAATCACTTGGTTTTGAATCTCTGGATGCAAGGGCCAAGACTGTTGTTGCTCTATCATGAGCTGATACCCCTGTGGTAGTACCATATTTAGCATCCTACAAATACAGTGTAAAGTGTTAAAATATAGTAAATTGCATTGATAAATTCTCAGAAGATACAGAACTAACTCCAAGCATACATTACATGCACCAAATTGTACATACCACTGTCACAGTGAATGCAGTGCGAAGCTTTTCATCATTATCCCGACTGTTTACCATCAAAGGAAGTTCCAATCTCTCCAAATCTTCCTCCTTCATGCTTACACAAACTATCCCAGTTCCATGCTTCACAATAAAAGCCATAGCCTCAGGTGTTGCCAACTCCGCTGCCATTATCAAGTCTCCTTCATTTTCTCTGTCCTCGTCATCTACAACCACTACCATCTGAAGCATTAATGTCAGTTAAAACCCAAAGGCTAAGTCAATGAAGGACAAAAAACCAAAATTTTCAACATCATAAGTCTCCCCTTCACTGGAGGGGATACCCAAAGAGAGAAAGCAACTACCTTTCCATTCTGAATGTCTTCGATGGCCTCTGGAATGGAAGCAAAACCTTCTGTTGGACTGTCCAAATCAAATTCATCATTGTCATCAGAGAAACCACTCCTTGCCGGTGCCGCAGTGTCTGCTCCTAGTGTTCCAAATGCTATTTCATCATGTTGAACCTCAGTTCCAACACCAGCCAGACCATCATTTTTCAGAACATTAGAGCTGTTTGGATAAGATTGTAGGTCTCCTCCACCAGAGTTCAGTGTTGCTTTAATTCTACCAACAGCATTGTAACTGAACGGGACCTTAGAGTTAAGTTGAACAATCGCCAAATCCAACCCGTGTCCACCAAACGAGTACTTGTGCAACCCATTGAACAATTTGAAATGTTCGCACGCCCTGCATTGAACAGAGGAGTATATCAAAGGTACAACAATTATTCGTAATTGTGACATCCAAAATTTATCACAGACAAACACAACGAGTGCAGCTATTCATATAAAACCCGCAGCTTCATAAATTGAACATGCTCGAAAGAGAATCCACGTATATGTTAAATTCAATTCCCTGAAGAATTACAGAAAACGACCACGAGCAAGCCCAGAAACATGATAAACTAAGCATACATACGTCATTCATCATTCAGAATTGAAAATTATAGTAATCTAATAATGTTAGGTTGAAGCCTCAAATTATCCCTGGTTAAACGAAATCAAAGATCTTTGGCACATAACGCTTTCAACTGAGAACCAAACATGCATATCTAAATCTACAATACACTAAACTAATAAATAAATAAATAAATAAAGAAGCATGAATATACTAATTTATTTATTGTTAAGACAGTAAGAAGAATCCTTGGTGCATAAAGTAGCAGAATGGATGAAGAAAAAGAGTGAGGAAAGAGAAAATGACCTTTGAGGACAGAGAAAGGAAGTGGAAAGATTGAGAGAAGAAGGCATTGATAGGGTTTGAGAGAAATTGGAAGAAGAAATGAAAAAAGGGATTGCAAAGATTAGGCAACACACACAGCTACAGCTACCCGCGCGTCCAGATCATTCCCTCCTCCCTTTTTCGCTTTCATAATCAATGAGTCGGTTGAAAATGAACTTATTTCTAAAACAAATCATTATTTAAATCCTTAAAAACTATTAATCATTTTCATTTTAAACTTTTACGTTTAGTAAATAGCAAGATTAAAATGTTAAAAGGAACTATTTCATATGTTTAATATTTAAATTAAATTAAATATTTATTTCAATCATTCAATATAAATAAATAAATGGGATGTACTTTCAAGCTTCACATACTTCAATATATATATATATAAAAGAACCAAGACTAACATTTACGTCAAACTTAGATAATTTTTTTAATAAAATTTTATACGAGTAAAAAAATTAAGTAATAAAATAAATTAAAATTTTTCACATGCTAAATTTAATTTATGTTTCTTTTTTTTTTTTAGTAGATCTCTCGTATGATTTATTTAAAATTAAAAAAGATAAATTATTTTAAATCTATAAAAAAAGATTATTTATTTTTATATTATTTTTCTTCTTTTATCATGCTTTATTCACAAATTCACTTAAATTATATTATGGTTTAAGTATATTTTTTTAGAAGCACTTATAAAAAAACATAAAATTATTCTTATAAATTTAATTGAATTTATATATCTCATGTTTTGATAAGTTAAAAAGAATATATGACAATTGTTAAAAGATAAATTTCAAATATTAATAAATAAAAAATTGTATATTATTTTTTTTACAAATATTTTTAAAAAACTTACTCACTGTTAGAAAAAAATAAAAAAATAAAAGAGGAAATTGATAGAAATCATGTGGTATACAGATTTTGTCACTTTACATTTATGACGAATTCATACTATTAAGCAATTTTTATAAATAAATATTGGATAATTTGACTTTGATGATTCGGTTTTATTTCTATAATCTCAGATCTTTTTTTATTAAAAAATTATTATTCAAAATATGAAAAAAAAATTAGCAATACACTTTTTACATATTATTTTAACACATTTTTTATAATTGTCAATATTTTAACAAATTACATGAATTATTTTGAATAATATGTTTAAAAAAAAGTGTTGCTAACGTTTTTTCAATTGTGAAATAAGTAATAACAACACCCAAGATTGATAACAACTAAAATAAATAAGCATAATAAAACCTTATCTCACTAAAATAAGATCAGTTAAGTAACTCAAAAGAAAAAGAAAATGGAAATGGAAATCACCAAGACTGATAACAAGAATGCAGATAAAAAAGCATAACAGTGAAGCATATTCATACACATGCTCAAATACTCAATTTTTTTTTTCTTTTGGTCTACTAGCTCACATACTCAATAAATAATTAAATACTAATACCCCGTTGAGCTCTTAAATTTCATTCTAATTTTGAAAGGCTTTTTGAAATGTGATCCTTTCATTTCAACATCTTGCAATGAAATCATATTTCTTCCTTTCCAAATTTGCCTAAGAATAAGCGTTAAACTTAAAAGTTCCTCTATCTTAGGACAAAGCCAACACCTCTAAGCATTTGAAGAAGGTGATTAAACCCTAAATCATTTAATTTTTTATAAGCCATATGAATCAGGCACTGTCAAAGTAATGTAAAAAACAAATATATCAAATGAAATTTTTGCTGGGTATCAAATAGGGTTTGTTTTCACAGTAATAAACAAAATTTACAAGCAAAATGGCTGCTTAATTAGAATTTACTATACTCACTCAGTATTATATGATAGGAGTATTCCTATAACATTTCTTCAAACAATTTTCCCGTATTCCATGCGTTTCATTTTGCAGAACCAACAACATAATAAATGTCACTTGATGATCGTCTCTAAAAAAGATCTGTTCATGTAGTTCAGCATAAATCCATCCTCAGAGAACACTTCTTTCAGAGGAGGAAACTTGCTCGTTAATTCTCCCTTTAGCTCTTTTAAATGATATATAAGAAGAGATATAGAGTTTATCTTGCAAATGCCATTTCCATGTAGTCCACTTCATGATCATTTTAGTCACCAGAATCTCTATATTCTGAAGGAGGATGTTTCAATCTCTCAAATATATCATCAAGGGATTCAGATGAAGTGTTTGAATTTTGAGTTGGCTCTTGAGCATTACCAAGAGGGAGGAATCTCTTGGAGTCAATGTTGGATCTCAGATTTCTAAATCCATGCATCATTGATTCCCATTTTGAGGCTAATATAGATGATGGGGCTGAACTTGTGTTCTGAGAATCATTAACATCACTTGTAAAGGGGGAAGAAACTCTTCCCTGAGTCAAATCTTTACTAGACACCTCTTCATTGAGGTTTGTCCTTAATGATGTATATTTTTTGCTCCCAAATTTTCTGCTCATGTCAATCTTAGCGCCTTCATCTTTGTCCTCCACTATATTGATATTGTTGTGTCCCGTGCCACTCTCATCCAAAACCTTAGGAAGAATGAAAGAGAGTGGTAGTAATTAACAATAGAGTGATGCTGGTTCTACAAATCTTTGGTCGGAGGTTTTGATTAGCTGTTCTTGGCTCACTGGTGCAAGGTATATCAACTTATACAAAAAGTAAATGAGCAATGATGATCAAAGCGTAGCAGTTTTAGATGCATACCATGCTTCTGGTGTTCTCAACATCTATGTTCATGCTGAAACTCCTTGCTAAAGGAAAAACAAGTTCACCAACTTTGTGCCCTTGCTGGAGAAGAGAACGCTCTGAGAAGAAAAAGTAAGGTAATAATTTCAGATGTTAAGGAGGTACCCCAGCCTAGTTTTACAGAGGTGTGTTCTACATTTGATATCATTTAGTTTTTGCTTTTAAACAGTACGATTTAGTTACTTTAACTCAAGAAACCCTAATTATTTTCTAAAGAGAATCCACTGAATGGTGAAGGATTTTTATAATTGATTTTAAGGTTTTGTTTCCTATTTCATTTTATCCTTTATCTTTTTAATTAATACTTCGCAATAATTTTCCTTCTTTTCCTATCTATGGTGTTTAAACCTACTGTAACAGATTACTACATGATAAATGTCAATTGTTTTATACCAAAAAATGGGACATTAAATATAGTAACTAAAAAGGCTTGAACTCACCTCTCTGCAAGATTATTACTCCGGATGGGTCAAATCCATCCATATCTTCTGCATCATCATTGAACTTGAATATTTTCCAATTCCCACAATACTTGATGACCCGGTTAAAAATATTGCCTGCTACTAGTGAAGTGTATATAACCATGATGAGGGGGTAAATTTTGTTGAATCCTTTTCCAAAAAAAGGCACAGCATCGTCAATGTTACCCATTTTCTGCACAAAATTTTGAGTGTTACAACTGGAGAAATATCACTGTTTGGGAAGAGGTCAGGAATCTAATTTGCAGTGATTAGGTGAGGCTATTTTAAAACGATCTCTCACTTACTAAGGACTCTAAACAACATGCAACGTTCATTAAAGATACCCACAAACACACAATTTGATTTTATCATTTTTATGTTCCTTTGATGGAAACACTTCCCTGAAATTCTTACTGTTGTGTGACCTTGTGTTGATTCATTGCTTCATCAGGCACCAAGTCAGTTCACGAAGGTATAGAGAAATAGTTTGCATCAATTAGTGAGGGAGACAGAGAATATTATCTTTGTATTAATACTTTCTTTTTAATAAAAAAATTATTATTTTTAGATGTTTAAAATCAATCTTAAAGATTGATGCTAACATTTTCCTTAGAAAGTAGTTATATAAGGAGGATAGGCTTCTTTAAAGTGAGCAAGTAAAGTGTATCCACTCTTGATTTAGTTTAAACTTTGAAGTGTATTGTGATATTAACTTGGTATATTTTAAGAGTGGATAAACACTCGGTCAATTTAGAGACAGATTCACTTAAAAAAAAAAATCTGCTAATAAAAATTATGAAGCATGAAAGTAAGGGTCACAACTTATCAATATCATGCACATTAGTTCACGCAATAACGATAATCATATACACTAGCTATGAATGCCAGTGATTAATGACATCATAAATAAGCACCAGACCATTGTAAAATACCTTTTCAAAAATGGTTTTCGCATCGCCACCAAGGTTAATGAGATTGAGAAAGTTGTATGAAATGGGTGCTGCATATCTTGCAACCATCCTACACCATAAAAGTGATATGCAAAGACAAACAATTTAGAATAATGTACTTCGCACAAGTGACCAAAAAAATATTCTAAAAAAGTGACTTACGAGCATATCATAAGCAAGCTTACTGAGCTTGTTTGTCTTGGTGTCAGTGAGTAAAACATCATCGTTCCCATTTTAAACAAGGAATAATATGTACATATGCACATATACATCAAGGGGATGAAAGCAGCCAACTGGGCAAAGAACCCAACAATCAGTATTCAAGAATATGAAAAAAACAAAATATTTTAACAGTTTCACGTATGAGGCAAAATAAATACATTTACATGTCTAAACAGTGAATTTTTAGGCATGTTTTTTCTTTCTAAGAGATGCTGTCCTCCTAATCTGCTCTGCAAGCTAATAGGCTAATAAAAATAAGAATAGTTCCCTTCTTCAATCAATATCAATAATTTGAATTCACAAAATTCCAGTGGAAGCAGCAAGCCTCTAATCTACTTCAGTTTTTATTGACATCAGAATTGAACTACCTATGACTTTTAACGAAAGCAGCAACAATTGAAATTAACTATTCCATTCCACTTCTTTCCACATCAATTTTTCTGGTATCTAATAACACCACTTCTATTAAGTTAGTTGTTAATGGTGTTAATTGTGGTGTATTTTTTACTAAGAAGTGAATTAACCATGATTATAATATTGTAGGAAAAAATATAGCCTTAAAGAAAAATTTAAGAGAAAGAAAATATACTTATTTCAAAGAAAACTACATTGGAACAGGTCTACAAAAATTACCTGTACAAGCACCTCTTTCTTTCCTGCAGCATGTATTAGGATAGAGAAAAGGGATAAATCAACTCCTCTGGTTAGTATGGTAGCCTCTGCCAATAGAATTGCTAAGGACATGATGCCCAATATAATAGCCGACGATTTCACTAGCTGTTTCCATAATATGCATCGCCATAGAAACTCTGTGATAAATTAACATTTTAGGAAGATATAATTGTTCTATTTAGCATCTAATATGAACAAATTTGTGAACAGCCAATTACTGTTAAAGATATAAAGTCATTGATAAGTCGGCTTTAACTTATAAATAAAATTTAGGTACTTTTAGTGCTATTGTTCAATCAAAATTAGAGTTTTATTTTGATAACCTGCAATAACTTCTCATCTTTTACAAAGGTGAAACTATAATTTTAATTGGAAAACAACATCAAAAGTACTTAAGGAACTCTACCTAAGTTTTGTCCTTAACTTATAGGCTTAAAGTCTGTAGGTGACATTCTTCTTTTTCTTGCATTGAGAAAACAACAAATATATTTATCAGGAAAATTGGAGAAAGAGAACAAAAACTTAACAAGTGGTAAGTACCAATTGTATCCAAAAGTGCACCTACTTTGCCTATACGTTCAGGCCTCAAGCATGAAATATATTTCCTGCAAGAATGGGGAAAAAAAATCTTAATAACAATAAACATAGAGCTACTGCACATTACTTGATAAATAAAACACCTGAGTGAAGCCAAAAGGTAGACTAATTAGTATCTTATAATAGCGCGGATGTTGCCTCCTATTTCGCTTACTTTCAAGTTTGTTGGCTAAAAGAACCTCAGAACATTATGGTTTTAAAAAAATTATCGGAATCATATAATCTCACATAGTTTGCTTACTATTAACGTAATTTGACCACTGTCAAAAGGAGAGTGAAGAGATGATAAAGATACTCAATAATAAGAAAAAAGAAGTATGACAAACCATCCTGTAGCATCTCGGCGCTCATAATTCTTTATGGTATCCTCCAGTTCAAGGGCTGCTAGGACAAATTTTGTATATTCACTGCAAATAATAATAGTACTTAAAATTTAATGATAAAAAATTTATTTAGAACTTCAAGCGAATATGTAAATATTGAAAACAAGAGCAAATTAGTCAAGTATTATGCTAGGTTGTGACAAATGGCATGTCAGCAATGAAAAACTCAAATTCTTTTCTAGTAAAAAATGTGGTCTTTTATGAAATATCAAGGGAATCATCATGTAAACTGAATAATGTGTAGCACAAGGGCTAAGAAAGAAAGAAAATAAGGATCTGGAAAAAGACAATAAAGTTTAAAATGAATTTGCTGCACACAATTGGTAGGTTCACTAATGTATACACACACTGTTGGAGAACAACATTAAGCCATATTTTCTCAACCATATTGCATTTAAAATGTTATGCAATTTTAAGCTATTTCCAAGAGGAAAAGGATTTTGTTAAGGAACAATTACTCCTACAAGAAATCCTTGATTTTGGTAAATCTACATAATTAGAATTACCAAGCAGATCAGTGTCTACCTTCTATATCGATAGTACTGCTCATGAGCTCTTCTAAGATGTCGCCTTAGTGCTGCCATAGATTTCTCATCTGTGTCATAATCCATGTCACGTTCTCCTAGTCTCCCACCCTGTGGTTTGAAGGAGGGGTCTTCCTTCATCTAGAAAAACTAGTCATATGAACATGTTGCAATAGAACATTTAGAATCAAAACACCCGTATGTGTACACTTAAATACTTTACCATCTGAAGCAACGATTTGTCAATTATATTCATGTACGGTCTCAAAGAATCCCGCTTGGACATTTGCTTTGATGTTGCCTGTGTGATCTGACAATGGCACACCATGAAAAGTCATATCTGCAAAGAATAAAGGATAAAAACAAAGTATTTCTTTCTATCATTATTATGCATATTTAATTTGATCCACTAATAGTACACCAAATTTTACAATAAAATCTCAATACATGGGTGGGATAACTAGTAGAATATAGGAAAAGTGGATGTAATTCATTAAGATGAAAGAATGCCAAAAAATTTCTACAGTTTTCTATTCCTGCACAAAATTGAAATTTGATTCACAACAAAAATTATGATTAAGAATGCAGAACTCAATACTTTGATCCACATACTTGAAATTACATTAACAGCTTTATTACGCTTAAGGATTACAACCCACTTCCAGGACAAGACATGCTAAAATGCAAATTTAAAGGACTTTCGGCAAAACGTTAATTCAATTGTTAGAAGATCGTTGTAGGCCAATGCAATGACTAACTTACAACAATAGCATTTGAAAAATCTTGATGTGCATCGTCTAATTTCACGGCCATTTTTGCAACTTTGTGGGAAAGAACTCTTTGCTGAATGGTCCAATCAGCATTTAACCAAATGCCCCTTGGAATTTCACTCAAACCAAATCCAAGTAGAAATGCGCCAGTAACCAGTCCAAATGTATTAGAGCAACCCATGGCAAAGCCCATAACATTCCCACTCCTGCAAATTATTAAGCCTATAGTTAGACAAGGTAGTTTGGCTCGCAATAATTTGAAAAATCCAACAGTGTATTGAAAGTATGGAACTGAGCTGTAAAATCCATCAGCAGATAACAAAAGAAGAGATAGATCCAATGATTCAAGTAAATAAATAAAATTATGAAAAATAATACAACTCTAAAAGAAGGAAAGAGGCAAACCAATAATTTTTGTGTAAAGCAATTAGTAATATCAAGCCAAAGAGTGCTACAGAACCAACACACAGATAGAAAACAAGGTTTCCTTGTAAGCTGGTCTTCAATCTTTCTTTCACTGTAAAGTCTCCAGCATCTTCATAACCCTGAATAGTGGGAACCACAGCCCTGCTTAGAGAAATAATTTAATACAAAACTATGAGTGTGTATTTCTATTCACCTAGCTGCCATAAATATCCTAATTGATTCCCACCAGAGGTATAGCATAAGTAAATGCACATCAATATCGTATACAACTTCATATCAATTAGGTTAACTTTTGAAAAAATATAAACAGTCTTCTAACTGCTGCTTCTTCTTTCTATGTGCTAGTGTATTTAACATATTATATTATAAATAACAAGGGGTAGCTTAAAAACAAATTAAATTTGTGTAGAAGACTTGATGGAAGCACATATAACAAACATCGTTTAGAGAGCTAATGAATTTCAAAGGAATCAGTCAATAGGGTACTAGGTGTTAGTTCAGGACAAGAATATTGAGAGCTCTATAAAAGGAAGAAGCTTACCATGTAAGTAAGAAGGTACTCCAATATGACAAACTCCATAAGAAGGAAATTGCTCCATGTTTATCAGCATGCATTGTCTATCAAAAAAGGGAGTGACTCAATCAGGTTGCAATTTTAATTAAATATAAAAAAAAAAGTAGCTATTAATAGAGGAAATAAACTCTCTAACTTCATTCTATTTGCTGAATGATTTGTTTCTCTTTAAAAGCACAAACTTTATGAATAAAATATTCTCTACTGAAATGTCATTATCTCATGAATATTTAACTCTATCCCTTATCTCATGGCATATGAAAGAAACAACATAGAACTATTAATAACTGAAAATCTTCATTTACTCAAACTAATGCAGTTCAACTGCAATATAAATCATATACCCCATTTATTTTCTATAATGAACCGTCAGAAAAACCTGAAAGAAGAAAATATATAAGAACAAAAAAGAGAAGAAAATGTTGTAAGTTGAAGTAGCATGTAATACCGTCCATATATCAGCAGGGACGAGGATGATGATGGAGAGGGAGCAGAACCATGTGTATGCAACGGTGAAGAACACATATTTGGGTACATCAGGTCCAGAGAAATATATCAATGTAAGAATGACCATGCCAACAGTCACTGGTAGTGAGAACAAATAGAACACCCACATTTTTACGTACACTTCCTTATGTTTCACACTAAATATGCATGCATGTCACTTTTCTCATATGCATAATATAATAACTTTCTCTCTTCCTCTTTCTCCTTTTCCTATCTGAAGAACATTTCACAGAAAAAAGGGAAATCAGAAGATGTCTGGAAAACTGAAAAGAGAATTTTAAGTTAGCACCTAACTTGAAGAACAAGGAGAACCGGTCAAGGGAGGACCCTTTTTATCTCTTCTCTACCTCATTTAGCATGTTATTTCACCCAGGTGTCATCTCAATTGCAAATGATATATATGTGGTCTCTCAGAATAATACATATTTTTTAATGGATTAGGACCTCTCAACAGAGAGATAGACACAAATTTTATAAAATAATGACCCACATATAATTTTAATTAATTGTCAAATTCGTTACCTCATCTGGTGAGATAAAGTTCTTGTTATTGTTTGTTGTATTGTGACTCACTGGCTCTTTAAGGATTTAAACCCTTTTATAATTGCAAGTCAATAATAATTGAATTAAAAAAATTTATTTGGGAACTATCCCTGAACCAATTGGACGTAAATAAAAAATCTTAGGGTCGCTGACTAGCAGTTTATAACAGGGACGTGGGTATTACGAGGTTAAAATTCGAATTGATATGAAAATCATTATTCATCATTAAAAATCGTAAATGTCTTAATAGAATTTTGTATAGCAACTAATCCGTATATAAAATCACAAACTTTATAGTAAAAAGCTTTCACGTGACATATTTTGCTCTATTGCGTGGATAGATCATGTGCACATGCACCAGCACAAAACATCGAAGTTGAAAAAATGTGACCTTAATTCAAAGATAAGTAATTAGAATTGACAATAATGAATGTGTGGGTTCGGTAGTCTATAACGCACTTCTTTCTTTTCTGAGTCATTCCTTGAAAAAATATGCATGTCTAAGTCTAACTTTTTACAATACTTACCATACATTAGCTATGACAAGAGTTCGTTTAATTCAAAGATAAGAACATCGTGCTCTATAACTCCTTGCCGAGGAGGGCTACCATTTTCTTTTTCATTCAGGAACTTACGGTTACACCAAAATATTATATGGTAAATCCAATTTAATAGCAATTTCTAAAGTTTCTTGGCAAATATAAAAGAAGTGGCCTTATTTCAAAGAAAAATTTCAAGCAGCAAATTTTGCAGTGCTGCTAATCAACTAAGGGCTGTCAGTGGAAGCTTAAATGAGGCACATAGGTAGTGGAACCATCTCTGACCTGTTCTGATTAACGAGGTAAATCTGCTGCACAAAACTCCTGATTGGTATCAGTGTCATATGGTTTCTTCAAGCTTATTTGGGCACAGGAAGGGGAAGAGAATGAAAATTGTTTCAAACTCTTTGCATAAAGAGTGTTCATGACCCAAAACATATTGTTCTAGCACCACACTGACTTGCATTCTTGATGACTTGATGCTCTTGAGCAAATCCCTCAATGCACATAACTTCCTTTTTCCACAAGCAAAATCTTCAGCTGAATATTGCCCTTGACGTAAATGTTGTATTAGCCATTCTAGCCATTACTAGTCCTAAAGCCAGTGCAACTCCAAACAAAGCATGCAACCTCACGCAGTAGTACTTAGCCATGAAAATCTTGTTCTTGTCCTGTAAGAATACAACTTTGATTTAATAGCAAACTTTAGGACGTACACTAAGGTCAAAAATGAATCACCAACAGTTTTTCACTTGCCTTGTGATTGTCTTCGACAAATCTGACTACCAGGTTTCCCATCGGCAAGGTCAATGTACAAAGGAACTAGTACAACCATATTCACGTATAAGAATAAATCAAAAGTCCATGGTTCACAATAGCAACTGTACCCGTAAAGAATATGGAAGAAATCAGAAACGAGATGCATAATGTTAGTTTATGTGTTTCCGAGTACATACTATACAAGTGAGAGGTAGTGCCTTGCTAAGACCAAAAGCAACCAAAATAGCATAGAGCATAAATACTGCCACTTTCACTACCTCTGCACCTTTTGTAGTGCCAAGTCTAACCTGAAAGAGAATTGGAAATATATAGGTTAGGTAGACTCACATCATTATGATAAGAAAATTGTTCAATAAAACAAAGGCATGTACCAAAGGTGACAGTTTCCCAACTTCCTTGTCTCCTTCCACCTGTGTTATGCATAAAAAATGTCACCAACTTGAAGTTACAATAATTGGATTTAGATAGCAGAAATGAAAGTACCTGATGGAAATGACTGCAAAACAGAATAAGAGATGTTGTGAAGCCAACAAGAATTGATGCTGAAAGAACTGTTCCACTTAAGGAGAAATGGTCCATCACACTGTAAAAAACATTCAGAAACAGTAATCAAGCCATGAAAAATGAAATATTATAAGTTACATTGTAATCAGGTAGCTGGGATAACCTTGCACTGCCTTGTAATAAATAAAAAGCACTAGTGGCAAAAGGACCAAATGCTGCAAAGCACAAGGGCTCTCCCAGCCCCTGGTAACTTAGCCGAAATGGTGGACACTGCAGCAGAAATGGGTAAAGTATAGGATTTTGAGTATTAACTTGTAACTCTGAATAACTTGCCAACACAATTCTGATGTCAGAAGAAACTTGTTTATACCTGATATATATATCCACAAATAATTGCAGAAACAAGAAACAATATTGAACGCATGTTTCTTGCCACAACAGCAGTCCAAGTCAGCCCAAAAAAGCCAAGAGCAAGGCATAAGTAAGCAGCAATGAAGGTTCCTGTACGGCTTTCCAAATTCAACATAAGGAATAATCAAGCCGAGTTATTTCTTTATATCAAACACAGAAGCAAAAGAAAATAGAAAAACACCAAAAGAAAATTTGAGAGAAACTCACCTGCCAACCAGGTTTACAACTGATTCCTTTTTGTTCTTGTCAACTCCAGTGTCAAAATCATAAACATCATTGCTGTCATGGCGACACATAAGAAATTACTTAAGAAAAAATAAAATATTCCTTTGGGAGTGTTTAAAAAGAATGATGCATTAGAGGAATGTAGGGAGGGGGAGGGGGGTGGGGGGTGAAGTGAATATTCGCAATGTATTCAATTCTGTGTTTTTTATTAAGATGTGTTGGTACTCTGGATGACAAAAATGAAAACAAATAGCTAGCTAGCAAAGAAACAAGTTAGATATCACTTTTTTTTACTGTTTTAAGGACAAGAATTTAACAAAACGGTACAATTATGGAAATTTTAATTGTGTCCATGTTATTACTAGTTTTAAAAGAATATCAAGCATCTGAGTTGGAGAATGGAAGTTTAAGTTTGACGGAAAGTAATGGCCACCAAAAGTTCTAATGATGAGGAGTTGTTACAGGAGTGCGTTTTCATTATATATTTAAGAAAATAATTTATAAGTGGTAAGATTTTGTGGTGTTGAACAATTGTTTATCTCTATTTTATATTCACTCACTCCATCCCTTAAACAGTATTAAAACTTACCTTAAATTGAGCCAGGTAATGACAAGAACTGAAGAAGCCAAGAGAACAAAATAAAATCTAGCTGAGAAGATCCCTGACTGCAAATAAGCTGCTGCACTGCCAACCTATTTGTGGAAATCAATGGATAAATTAGAGCGCTCTCACACAACGAGAAAATTGATATTAAAGCAAAATTGTAATGCTGGTGCATTGCTTAAGATGACATGAATTCCCTATGAAAAATTATGGACAAGCTCTAATTCTAAAACAAGAGCTATGGAAATGAGTTCAACTTAACATAGAAAAGGGAGGGATAACCACTTAGAGAAAATCTTCTCTGGAAACTTAACATGCTTCAAAATATAATAGCTTCCATCTATATAACTGTTTTTAGCTAATGTAGCTACTTATGCACACTTTAAAAGTTCAGATGCTCACAGTGAGAGGAATTAAAGCAACAGAGTAAATTGGCAACTTGATGGCTCTCCAAATCAATGTTTCTATTGAAATATCCTCCTGAGTTTCCTCTTCAATCATAGAAGAAATGGGTAACTCTGCTTCTCTTGCACAACACACATGTTGATATTGATTTAATCTTTTAACTTGCAACCTTCCTCTATATCTCCTATGAAAGACCTTTCCAACACTACACGTTGATCTTTTGGAGCCATAATGACACCTGAAAATTAACCAACAGGTTCTCTTCAACCCAGTTTCACAGTAAACAATTCACATTAATTTCTTCAGCCTTTAATTTCCCATTTTTGCTGGACAGAGAAGAGGGAACTTGCCTTTTGAAGTAGCTTTGCACCTGAATGTACTCGCTGAGTTTCTTGAAACCAGAAGCATGGGTGATGTTGCAACACGTGGCAGCCATAGAGATTAATGCAATTGTAATCCCAAGCTCTTCATATCTATGTGAATAGTTTGATGAGTAACTGAGAAGAATAAGAAAAGATAGATAACCGAAACTAAAAGGACAAGGGAAGTTGAAACACTTCACATCGTAACACTTTCCATATCTGCCAACTGAGAAATCCTATCTCATTACAATCCCTTTGTGGACCACTAGAACACTGCCATCTAAGATTACTTTCTCTTGCCTCACTCATCAACCCATGCATTAATTAATGAGAGCAGTTACTTCAACAATTTTTATTTTTCATCGTGAGCGAAGGGTAAAAATAAATAATTTATTATGTATCAGGGATATTTTTAATTAATTATTGGAGATTAATTTTTCAACATAAATATATTATCAAAATAAATTTAATTTTTATAATTAATATATTAAAAAATTTAGTTATTAATAATTGTATTGATTTTATAAATATACAAAATTATATTATAATTGTATAAAAAATATACATTCACAATAAACTTGAACACATACATATATATATATATATATATATATATATATATATTCAAGTAAATAAATTTTATAAAAAAAATTATTAGGTACTTTATTATATTACTTTAGTTTAACAAATAATATATTTTTAAAATATAAATAAATTTTAAAATTTGGATTACATATTTAAAAAAATTAATCAATCTTATATTATATAAAAAGATATCAATTAAGTGATGCAGGTACAAGTTTATCAAATGAATGTTATATATATATTAAAAAGGTGTTGGGACTCAACCTTGTCTCCCTATGAACCGATCCTGTTTCCAATATGATAAAAAAAAAAAAAGGTATTTGATAGCTTTCATGAAATTTTATAAATATAAATATTTCAAAAGGATCACCTTTCCTTGTGTTATAATTTTTCTATTAACAATATGATAATTTTTTTAGCAACAACAGTGATATCATAAGTTAGATTCCTCAAAAAATGGTCTTTGATCACTATTGGGCTTCGGTTCTTTGTCACAAAGATACGGGCTTTGGGCTGCCCTTGGATTCCTTACCTTCCCTTCACAAAAAAAAAAATGCAAGAGCTTCGGTTAATAATAATAATAATAATATGGATTAAAGCAAAAGCTTCGTCGGAAGAGTTTGGATTTTGGAAGTTGCTTTATTATCTTTTTAATATACACGGAACAAAGAATTTTATAAAAATGGAGTATTTGTAAGGACCAATATATATTTTTTTTATTAGTGATAAAAAAAATATTATTTTCTCAATCTAATTTATTAGAATTTTTGCTTGATCGGTCGGTGAGAGGTTAATCTCTCATATTACAATCGAACACTAAACGTTTACATTTCTTGTAAAATATCAAAAATAGAAATAATTGTAAAATCAAGTACAAAAAAAAGTAAAGTGAAATTACGTAGTCAAAATGCTTATCCAAAACATTGTGTCAAATAAAGCGAGATAATATAAGAATAATACTGAGAAGGGGATAAATATTCTTGTTTTGTAATTTTATTTTCAAAATGTTATCTGTGGCGTAATTAAAAATATTCCTAATTAACAAAAAGCCATATGTATGTAAAGGAAAATGTTATTTTGCATTATATTTATTTTGGCTATAATGCAATTATTTGTTTCCTTTCCGTTTTTTAAAACGATAATTTATTAAAAATTGTTAAATTAATACAAAAATTAAACATTTTTTTTTCATTTAGAATTTAGACGGGGAAAAATACGACTTGGATACAATTTTAATAAATTTTTAAAGTAATTTTTATGAGATAAAAAAATTAGTATAAAAAATAATAAATTTTTTCATAAGTTAGAAATAATTTATCTCTTCAAATTTTTAAAAAATAATTTTTTCTCTTAATACTTCCAATTTTATCACTTATTTTATTTAAATCAATTTTTTTCTCAAACGTCACACTTTCATTTTTTCGAATTTTATTATTTCAATATACAAGTATAATAATTCCTCTCATTCTATATTTATAAAAATTAAATTAAAATTATTAAATAAATTTAATTAAAATTTAAAAAAATTATATATTAAAAAATTATTTAAAATTTTTTATAAAATAAAATAATTTATAAATTTCTTACCTTCAATTAATCAATTTCAATCGCGCGCAAACACCGCGAGTTAATTTGAGGCGAAGTTGATTTGACATGTGATGGAGTTGTATTATATGGTGTGTATTGATCATCTTGATAATATTGAACCTTGAATATTTGGTTATCTTTATATTCTAACAAGTAACATATCATGATGTGCTCCTTCAATCACGCCTCAAACAAATCTCAAGTTAGGAAGAAAATTACAGGTTACCTAAGAAAGTTTAAAACACACCATTTTGTCAAAGTACTTTTGTCTTTTTTATCAACTGCTGTTTCCTTAATAGATAATAGAATGTATATTAATAAAATACAAAACATATTAGATATTTATTTTTAAGAATGGAAAACTTATGTACCTATTAACTCAGAAGGTTCAAAACAAACACAAACTAGCTCAGAGAGTGCCACCATTTTAGAGGAGAAGGCCAAATGTTCAGAGGAGAAAGTGTTGCATTTGTGATCGCAGAGCAAGGTATTTTTTTTCTTTGACATGGGAGGGATTTCAGTGACTATCATGTGTAGAAAGGAAGGCAGCAAAGTAATCCTTTGTTAATTTCTTTTTATCATTTGATTCATTCGTTCATTCATTTTATATACTAGTTTTGATATGGACTTAATATTTCTTTTTATTTTTGTTTAATTTTTTCTGTAATGTTTTCTAAATTTAAATATGTAAGATGATTACATTGTGAGTTTTTTTTTTTTTTTGTCTTAGTTCTTCTTCTTCTTCTTCTTTAGTCTTTAGTATTTTTTAAATTTAGTGAGTGTTAAATAATAATGTAGCTAATTAAAAGTCTGTTATGTGTTAATTTTTTATTTATTTTTGAAATCACCTGAATATTCTTTCTGTCCTTTTCACACTCGCTGACAGTTTCTCATATTAAAATATAAAATCGCGAGTTTTTTAATATAGGCTAAGTTTACAAAAACCAGCAAAATGTTTAAAAAAAATATAGATCGAAATTAAATTTAAATTTTTCTAATTTAACACACTAATGTCTGTTGTCTACAGTAAGTTGATCCAAATGAATCAGATAACTTGTTTTATCAACTCTAATCAAAAGTTGAATAATTTGGAATCCTTATGCATCCACAAATTTTTTGATGGCCTTCTTAACCTTAGTTTTAAGATTATAATAAACATGAAAGCATCTAAATGATTTTTTATTTCTAATATAATAAATAATTTATTTTTAATAAAAATTATTTTTAAGTATTTAAACTCAAACCCTAAAATCAGATTTATTGAAAAATTAATTATTAAATAAAAAATGATAAATATTTTTTAAATAATAAATGCATGGAACTTTTATTAATATTTATTTCATAAAATAAAAATTATTAAGAAGGTATTATAGTAGAATTCTAGTATGCTATTACTTTTTAAAGATATTTTAAAAAAATGTGCTTAAAGATATATGTTAAAGAGTTTAAATATTTTATTAAATTGAAAAATATTTATTATCTTAAAATTAAAAAATTATTTAATACATATTTTTATAATAATATAAAATATTTAATAAAGTATATGTAATACTTTTAAAATGTAATTTTAAATACACGTTAAAAAAATTATTAAAAAAAGTTATCTCAACCCATAGAAATTAAGACATTTGTGAGAGCCCATAAGAGAATAAATGAGTGCGGCTAAGGTCTATTTTCTCACCATTAATGACTTGGAATGTGTGTTGTACATTATTGAGGGCATGGTAATAGCCTAGCAATTAATAATAAATGTTAGGAAATAATTTATGTATAATTTTTAAAAATATTTTTGTTATTTTTAATTGAAATTAAATTTTATTTAACAAAAAAAACATATATTTAAGATTGTTCTAAAATAAAATTAAAAATATCTAGAGAATTGCATCTATATTTTGTCCTGAATGTTTGGCGTTGTGCATCCAAGGAATGTATTTTGCAGCATTAGAATCGCAGCTTGTGCTCTGTAACAGAAGAAAAGGGTAAACCAAAATGACAAAATCAACTCTTCCCTTAGATAAGTGTCGTTGTTTAAATCGCCATACTTTCTTACTATGCAATATCATAGAATAAAAAAAGCTCTTCATTTATTGTTTATTACTCAAATAAAAGGCTGGGAAAATATCAGTAGCAGAACAGGGTCTTTAACTATATAGATATAACTTGCACAATTCACCAAACCAAGTTCCTTTATCTTCATACCCTCTTTTCTTAGTTTCACTGTCATCTACATATACTATTCATACATAACTGAAAAATTGAGAAATGACCACCCTTCTTCATTCACGTGATCAACCCAAGGTTTTGCAAACTAACCCACAAGTTCTTACTACATATGAAGGTGATGCCATAAAGTTAACAGAAATGAATGCAAGTGTTGAGGGAAAGGAGGGCATAACAGTGACATGGGAGAATTTGTGGGTCACTGTACGAAATGGAAAGAAAAAGAAACCAATTCTGCATGGTCTTACAGGTTATGCTCGGCCAGGAAGGATTCTGGCCATTATGGGCCCTTCAGGATGTGGAAAATCTACACTTCTTGATGCTCTAGCAGGTAATTAGTACAAGACTAGTACGATTTATATATTTGGTTTGTGGTGATGTCCTTTACTATACACGTGCTTATTATGAGTCTCATGGTATGGTACCAACTTGCTATCATGCTGATTGCTGAGTGAATAGTGACATCCTTTTTTAGTATTACAACCATTGCTTTTAAAGGAAGGTTAAAGAATTTTAGACAAGTGTGTGAAGTTTTCTATGCATCTTTAAATTCTTTTTGTGAATTACTTGTTAGAACAGCATTTAGGTAGTTGGTCATGTGAAATTACATTAGCAATAGTTATACGTTGGAGGAAAAGGAGAGTATTTAAGTTTTTCTTTTTGGTCAGCATCTATTGTCTTGATGCTAAAATAGTATAGTTTAACAAGAAGAGGTAATTT